TGTGAACAGCATTGGCACGCATTACCCCAGCAGAGCCATGATAACCCAGCTTCTTTCGATTAGTGATGCAGTTTGTAATGTGCACCGGCAGAAGTCTGCTTATCAGAACTATCAAGAGATATAGTCAACTTTTCAAGCCAGGCATCGCGTCGTAACTCTCCGGAAATGTGGATAAACGCGTCCCATGCCTGTATCATTAAGGGACCATCATGTTCATGGTTTCCGCTGTACCATCGATGCTTGTAGAACACAGCGATATAGAAAGCATGCTCATTGCGGAAGTCACCCCCACGAGCGTCAAGACTATGAATTCTTAATGAATCAAATTTATTTATTGGTAGCGATCGTTTACCGTGTCGGACAAGCGATGTAGCACTCGCTGAGGAGGCAGCCACGTGTTCTTCTCGAGACCGGCGAAATTTATTTGCAATCTCTAGCTTCATGCGTATTTTGATCCGGGTATCGAAACCACGAGCAGCAAGGTCGTCTTAATCGTGACGCATCACTGCATCAACGTATTTATCATTAAATTAAATTTCGGTACCGCCTCGACCACTCTCAAGTGAAAGACTTCACCTTGTCGAAGGAGCATCCGACTTTTCGGACGGCGCAAATTTGTTTTTACGCTCAGCGAGGATCGTCGAGCTTTGTAAGTCCTACATGGTCTGCTCCGGCTTGACCACTTCTGCCTATGTCACTGCAGTTGTCTTACTCGAGTCGGTGTAGCCATCCGACCCGCCAGAGTTAATGAGTTCGAGGTCGTAACGTTCAATGTCAAGTGGTGATGCACCGCGTGAGCCTTCAGCAGCCATTGCTGCCTTCGAAGTAGATTTGCTTGCTTTTCACGGCTGCTAAAATGATTCTCATTGCAGCACTCCCCGCGGCTTTGGTCGTGACGCGGAGCAATTAACCGTGCGATGTGATATGGAACGGTTAGGATTTACCAACAAGTGCTTTTGTGTCCCATATTCACTCGTTAAAGTCACTCAATCATCAATTAGTCACTAATGTGACTGATGGTAAAGGGGGGGTGACGTAACGAAGTGTCTTTGCTACATAATACCTTACAAAAGTTAAATATCAAGTATGAATAAAACGTTAATTTAGAAATCACATTTTACTTTCAGCTGAACAGGTATTATTATAATGAAAAAGTAAAACAGTTCTCATTAGTTGATATAAATTAATGACATTACCCAATATAGGTGAGCCACAACGGAAGAACGCATGAGTGGTAAGAATGTAGATGCAATATATGTTTGTATTCAAACATAGTCAATAGAGGACTAAATGGTATTTAACACCAGGAAATTTAAATAAACTACATATTTTTCTTGCAGCGGGGTCACACGACCGCTATCGTCCTAATCATACATTCCTTGTACATGTGATATACAATCCCAAGTATTATCTATGATAACTGATGTGGTTGATAATCTCTATCAAATATTAATGACAGTTTGATGTACCATCCATTTATCTTTATTACACTGAGGATAACTGGGCAAATTAGTTTGAACGGAGTATACGGTAGTTGAATGAAACTTATCGCTGATAAACTAAGTAATAAAAGTCCAGTTACCCTTTTGATCTTCGATCAACACGTGTCTAGCTCATACGTCTGTAGATCTTTACGAGTAAGAGCCATTCTGTGACGAATACTCTCGAGAAGATTGTGCGTACAATTCTTAAAGTCATTGTTAGTTCCTTGAACCAAGACTAGAAGCTCTACAAGCATAAACACAATCCGAGTTTTTATTGATTAATTCTTAGAAATAGAGACTCTACAAACTGATGGGAAATTAATCTAGTAGACCTAAGTGACTTCTAGAGTCGTAAGATGTCCTCTGTCTAAGAGCTGTGCAGCTCCACTACACCTGGTAGCACTCGTAGTCAATCCTACACCGTAGTCGCAAATCGACTGAATCTTGGTTTAGAAAAATGGCATATCTTATCTCTCTCCAGCGTAACGCCTCACTTTGACAAGCTTAGGGCGTTGAATAGTGTCGTGAAAATCGACCATATATTTACCCAAGGCCCGGAAGTGCTTAAGGCACGGCTATGAGCTTAAATACAATTTGAAACCTCACTAATTGCGGTCGGCTCCATTACCATGTAGCGGTCGCTATGCTGACTGGTTGCATTTCTTTTATCGATGAAGATCCCAAGGTGAGCCCGCTTGCTTTAAGCGTAAATGCTTTTAACAATAAGGAGGGAGAAAAGCTCATCCTCTGAATTCGAGGAGTCGAAATGGCAATGAGCGCCACTACGCTGCGAATCAAGCGGCAGAAAGTTGGCCTAGCCATCTCAAAGCTTGGTGGCAGATCCAGAGAATAAGCTCTGACTTGTGATGCTTCTGTAGAAGCCACGTTTACCTTGTGGGATTTGCTTAAGAGACGTTTGTCTCGCGTTTTTGCACAGCCTCATCTAGTTTGTCTAGTGCGTCCACGCTTCTCATCATCCCCACAAGAGAAGATGGATGTGTTGGACTATATCCAAGAGTTGAGACCTTTTCTTGCTGATAAGCACCTGGGCTTTCTTCCTAATAGGTTTTTGTCATCACTTAATGAAGGGAGAACCTTCTGGGGTCGCTCGGACCGTAGTGGCGTGTCCATCCCTCAACCTTCCAGGAGGCTGTGTTTATAGCGTTAAACGCGGAGTTAGCTTCAAAGATGCTCGCTATGGTACGCACGGACATGTCACATCTTCGTTTGATAGGGCAGAGACCATAGATCTTAGTCATGCGGAAGATGAAGAAGCTGAGCTACAAGCTATGTAACAGCAACGTAACATCCGTACATGTTACACTTGCAGAAGCACAAGTGTAGCGGAGCTACTCAGTGCTCCTTAAAAAATTAGAGGAAGTCTTGGACGAAAAAATTCTCTTAGTTATAACAAACTAACAAAGCTGTAGATTCTTTTAAGCGTGCAAGCTTAACCTTCCCGGTTTAAAAGGGATAACGATTTACAGAATCACACACGAACTAGTCACTACTACGTAACCTAGAGTAAGCGTTTTGACAAGGCTACTGCTCTTAGCAGCACGCTACGCCTTTACAAGGCAAGTGTGTCAACGATTCTAAGAGGGAACCTATCTTTATTCGTTTTTTTATCTACAGTATTTAAAGCATTAAACCTAGTCTGATTCTCACAAAGCAAAATTTTAATTCAATAAGCCTAACGGTTTATAACACCTGCACGACTGGCTCTTATCCGGATCCTAGGATGAAAGACCCATCCTTTATCCTTAACCGATAAGGTGCGGATATACCGTAAGTCGTGATACCAATAATGTACCACTCAAATCCACCGATCTTAACTTGTTGTGGATACACAACGTAACATATTAATAATGGCCGTGTAACCACGTTACAACAAGGCATCTCCGCCCTGCCTGTCCATTACAAAAACATAAACAGATTTGGCCGGAAGCAATACCGCCTCAAACAGAAACCTGATACGGTGCGGGGGGAAACTTCAACTCCCAGCAGGAGCGGGGCGCTTAACTGGGAATAAGTAGGATTTGTAGAGGCTCCAGGATGTAGAGAAAAACAGGATTTCAGACGATCTCGTGAATGATTTCACTAAACTTGAATACAAGTGTGGTGAAGTGGTCAAAGGAAATCCTGACCAATCGCCTTGATCACCTCGTATGTGCATGTGGGACCGGTCATGCCGGCCTTGGGGCCGACCGCTACAGAAATCCCCAACGATAAGCTGGACAGTTTGCAATTCATCAGTGGCGGTCACAGATTATGAACACCGGTTAGGGTCACGACGAATGACTAACCGGTCATGGTCACAATGAATGACCAGTGGTCACGTTCACGATGGGTGACCAGTGGTCATGGTCACTGCAAGATGACCAGCGGTCAAGTTGGCAGTTAAGGTGGTTCACTTCAAGCACAGGGAATGGGTGTTGGCAGGCGAACAACGTAGCAGAAAATGGAGATAAAGAGAAGTCTAAACGTGGTTCTAGCCCCTAATAGGTTAGTAACGAACAGTATTGATTTTCCTACAAAAGACACGCGTCAGCATTCCTCCGGGCTGGAATACTATTGGCCACCCGACGTAAAAGGTTTACTGTCTACGTGTTTGCTCAAGGTTTGTTTCTAGATTGCTTGTCTAGGGAAAAATATACTCATTCAAGTTAGCCCGCGATCGGACGCGGCAAGCATACAAGGCAAGGTCTTCAGACGGCTCAAGTGATCAGAAGGACACGGTGATCAAGTGGTCAGAAGAACAAGGGGGATCAAGTGTCCACATTTGGGCAAGGCGACCTCAAGGAAGGTCAGGCAACTCTAGGAGAGTGCCACCAAAAACCGTTGGTCGTGTGAAAAATACCACGCGACCACACCCCACCTATCCTCAACTCGGTCAAGACAAGACATCTTTTTCAAGATACCTAGAAGAGTGCAACCGGCCGCCGACGGGTACACAAGGTGATAAGGAACAAGACACACGGTCCGGAGTACCCCATACGTTATTCGGTCGTCCGGGTGCAAGTTGAGAGTCAGTATCGCTACGTAAATGAGCAAATCTCACTCCACCACAACGGTGCGCGAGCCCAGATCTTCTGGTGTTTCGGGATTTTACCATGAATTCCAGAGCGAAGATGTCAAGGTCAAGATTGAACCGGGGATAAAAATGTCGGAGAAGAAGGGATCGTCGCAGATTCGTGATTATAAAGGACCCTCTATTCGGCAGAGTTTTGGGAGGGGCTTGAACGAATCAAAAATCAAAGAGAAAGATCGCCAAGGTGATCTCAGAAGGAAAACCTCTTTTCCCTCCTGAGGTCCTGTGGGGGATCACCGCGGATTGTACTCCAAAGTACGACTTGCTAGATGAAACACGTCCTGCCAAAGCAGGAAACGTTTCGTCTTAAAACAAAACGATGCACAAAGAAAAAAGAAAAAAGATCGAAGGCTGCGGCTCCCAAGCTACGCGCGCCTGACTCCGAGGGTGATGATCAAGAAATAAGCAGGGCAGCAGAGGTCAAGATGGAAGGTTGGGAGATCGATCAGCTGCAACGTCGTTTGCACTGGACCCAGCTTCAAGCGTTGCTATCAACGGAACCAGGGCTGACCATCGTGGAACCGGAAATGACCGGACCGCTTCGGGGATCGACTCCACAAGCAGCCACTAGCAAAATGGAAGCAGTGCAACGTCTCACTCAACTGTTACAAGGTGAAGGATTGTACCGGGGGCGTTTGACGCGCAGGTTCTGCTTCACTGCAATTTGGATCAAGTGATCACGGCAAGCCGATCACTGTTTAAAGCGCTGGTCCCACTGACCGGCAACTATGACTCCGCTGATCGCGAGATCACGACCATTATCATGGTCAAAGAGGAAGACTGTTTACCAGCGGCGTCGTCACATTACGCTTCGGCGGAGTCGATTGCGGACGATAGCGACGGCTTAAAAATAAAGCGAATGTCGTTAGAACCTTCCGGTGCAGCACTTTTACGTGACCACCACGAGCATCCGACTCCAACCACCGGACCGTTGAGACTAACCACAGAGCCAGTCAATGTTATGGATGACCCCGACCAGATGCAAATTTTCTTTGCAAAGGCCATGGAAAAGTTCATGCGAGTTCAACAGCGACGGCCGCCACGTTCTGAGCCGACCAGTCGCCCCAACCCCAACCACAAGGTGTTCGGGGTAGGTATGCCAGACACGGACATGGAATCGGCTGACTCGCATGGTAGTCGCGGCTACACCTTTGACCCTGACGACCTCGACATTGACGGCGTCCGTCGACCTCACTTGGCTAGTACGGAAGCCATTATGGGAGAAGGATTTGCTGCGCAGCGGATTCGCATGTCTTCGATCGCCGATCTAAAGGAGTTCTCAGGCCGCGATCAGGATGATGATTGCGCTCGAAGCTGGTTGCGAAAGGTCTATTAGCTCTCTTGCGTCACCAAGCCGTCAATTCGGAGAAATGTTTGGTTCTTGGAGATTTGCTAACAGGCCCAGCACGAAACTAGTAATCCCAGCTCAGCCGATCGACACGCAACAAGTGAAAAGGCTTGCTGAAGAGTTTTCTACTACAATACTGTGGACACGTCATCTCTGCTAGTCGCCAGTATTACCACGCCTGCAAGCGTGCCGATGAAACTCCGCTAGAATACCTCTATCGGCTGAACGTTTCTGGGATGCGAGCGAAAATTCACGTGAAGGACGGGAACGTCGCTGACGGCCGAGAACACGTGTACTAGATCGAGACGCTGGATGACCACGATCTCGCAAAGCAATTGACCTTGCTGCGTTTGGACGATGTGGATACGCTGAAGTTAACGCTGCACACATATGAACGTATGCAAAAGCGCAAAGGCAATTCCCCGATCAGTTCAGGCAAGTTCCGCTCACGACCAGCGTTGCCATGCTCTCCGAGTCCATCAAAACCGGCTCGAGCTGTGCGTGCAATCCACTTGGGGGGCGAGATCAGTTCGTCGGAATCAGACATAAGCAGTGCGGAATCAGACGAAGAACAACGACGTGTTTACAGCGCCACAGCAGCCGACCGTACGAAGGACCGGGGAAATGATCGTCCGACCAGGCCAAACTCGAATGACCGTGAACGTGATCACGATCGAGCAAAAGGGAATAATTCGTGCACTCATTGTGGGTCCAAAAGACATGGTGATAGGAGATGCTGGAAACGCCTGACTTGCCAGATATGTAAGCGCCGAGGTCACCCATCCGACAAGTGTTTCTACAGATATGTAGAGTTTGGAGAAGTGCACGACGGAAACAACTGCCTGATAGAAAAGTTTTACAATATGCTTCGCAAGTGGTACATGCTGAACAAACACGCCGGAATGCTCCCTCCCGAAGCTTAGAATTGTTTAACTAGGACGCTCGCCAGGTTGGAACCTGCTATGAGCCGAGCGTTCCTAGACTATGCATATATGCATTCAGTGAGAAAGGAGGGGTTAATAACAGTGTTAATCGCCTGACCGGCCGGACTTTCAGTGCATGTGATTTGGATTCTAGTTCTTTTCCATCAATTGCAAGTTTGCGGCGACCTAATCAATACGCACGATCACCTACAAAGATGGAACTCAAGTTGTCTCCTGGCGAATCACGTGGATACTGGAAATACCATACTCCAAACAAGTGGTTCAGGCACGCCAAGGCGGGAGGGAAGATCAACAATGAAACGGCTACCCTTTTGTTTGACCCGGGAGCTGGAGTATCAATCATCGACACCACCTTTGCTCGCAAGGTCGACTGTGTCATAGATGAGAGTCAGGAGCAAGAATGCGTGGGTATCGGAGAAAATCCATACATGACAGAAGGCCGCACAAAGGTGAAGATCACGCTGAATGGCTCTTTGATGTAATACTTTAATGTATGGGTGGGTGGGTGACCAAGTGGGACAAGAAGCAATTCGAGGGATGGATTTCATGGTACCGGCTGGAATACGCCTTGACCTATCAGAAGGAACAGTGTGCTTGCCGGAAGAAGTCATAGTTCAACTGGAAGGTAGGAGATCACCGCATGGGGTGAAGACACACCGATTCGCTGCGGATGAGAAGTATTTGGCGATACCGGTGGGTGACTCAGTGGAGGTTAATGTTGGACGGGGACCACTGCAGTAGAAATTGTGGTTAACGCGCCACGCACGTTGGGCACCCACGGCTATGACCAGACCCTAAAGACTTACATACCTCCGCCTAACCAACCTGACCGATCAAGAGGTGATTATTAAATAGGGGAAACCGTTCGGGCAAAGGATGCCGGCGGACATGGTACCACGGTCACCCGGGTATGTGTCAGTAGGGTCACGTCGTTATTAGGAGTGGCAAACACTTGCTTACGAAGCTTCTACAGATACGGATGAAGCAGAAAACGTACTATAAGCAGAAGGGCCGTTAGTTGAACTCCAGTCTCACCCAACACCAACGCAGATTCTAAAACGACCCCCACCGGATATGGTAGAGATTACCGCGGGGAGAGAGGAAGCGGAATGGGAAAACAATGTGCCGACATGTGACCAGGTGGATGACCAAGAGGATCAAATAGGAACACAACCAAAACTATCACCAGTAGCTATTAACGCAATCACCACACGTGATACGGGTTATGATTCGGTACATGATCGGCAGGAACAAACGAATGAACCCCAAAGAGAAATGTCTATGCGATCACCAACGTCCGCCGACTTGGTGAACCCTATCGAGGCGATGAATGATACGACGTTGGTGTACGAGCAGACCGAAACGCACCCACACGAGTGTGAAGAGAAGCTTACGCCCAAATAGATCGAGGATTTGGTACCTGATAGTATGCAAAACAAGTCCCCTGATTCCCCAGATGGAATTACTGTTGGGGATGGGGAGGTGTATCGACCGCCCGACCATCTGGGAGACCAATCTGCAGCGGTCGCCGGCGAAGGAGAACAGGAGTGCACGTCATACCAACACTCAGGTGGTACATTATTCGCGGACGATGTTGGCCAACACATGGCAGTCTTACTGGAGGTAAAATCGACGCTATGTGAGGTGAAGATTGAGAATATACAGGTGGGCGAACCAGGGGTTCCATTGACGAAAGAGCAAGAAGAATTACGCCATCTGATCTGAAAGAATATATATCTGTTTGTGGGCAAGGAAAATATTCTCCCACCTGCAGCTCGAGGCGTGATATGTGACATAGATGTAGGAGGGGCAACCCCAATAGCTCAACGAGTGAGGCCTGTCGCCTTAAAGCTCCGTGAAAAGTTGGCCGACCTGATCAAAGGGTTGCTATCGGCGAAGATTATATGTCTGTCAACCTCGCCGTTGGCATCGCCGATCGTAGTGATCGTAAAAAAGAATGAGGTAGGTATGCGAGTATGTATAGATTAACGACGCGTCAACCAATTGACGAAGCTGATGGTGTATCCCATGCCCTTGACTAACGACCTACCGCAGGACCTGGACAAAGCGCTATGGTACTGTTCATTGGGTATGGCCAGCGGATTCTGGATTATGGAAATGACGGAAAAGGCACGAATGATTTCTACTTTTATTACGCCTTCAGGTCTGTATGAATGACTACGTATGCCGTTCAGGTTGAAAAACGCGCCGCAGATATACCAGCGTATGGTGTACAATGCCTTGTACGGGTGTCTCACGTTCGGCAAACAGCGGAGAACAAGTGGTCGCGAGGTGTCACAACCGGTCGACGTGTTCACGCACGGCAAGCTGGAACCGTAACGAAAGCCTTCAGTGTTGGGGCGGAGATCCCATGTTGATGACATTCTGATCCCGGCGTCGTCCTAGACGTCCCTCCATCAAAAGGTAAACAGACTGTTGGAAGTCTGTGATCAGTGGAATTTGTCGATCAGTTTACCTAAGTGTGTGTGTGGGGAGGACGCAAGGTTGAGTATCTCAGGCATTAGGTATCGATATCAGGAATAGAAGCCGACCCGAAGGATTTGGGGTCGTTGGTACAAAAATCCATTTCCCCAAACATTAAGGTCAATGCAGTCCTTTTTGGGAAGCTTGAATTACTACAGCCGGTTCATTGAAGATTAGCCACATACGCCTCAGTCCTGTATGATTTAAGAGAGGCGAAATTTCTTGAGATTATGCGGTTGGACAAATCGGAGGATGATCATGCACCAAACCAAGACCAGGATGGTGATACCCAGATCGACGATAACCATGGCTAGAGGCTGGTAGGTAGCTGTGATAAACAACTGACAAATATGGATGATCGTGACCAACCGAATACATAGGGGTCTAATGGCGAACATACAACTGGTCATCGTTGGAAAAAAAAAGCTATGATCGCGTTCACAATGCTGAAAGCAAAAGCTGCCCATACCCCAGTGCTAAGACATTTTGATCCTGATCGTCGGCCAGTGATAGTGGTTTATGCCAGCAAATGGGTGGTATCCGCAGCTTTGTTGCACACGACGGAGTGAATTGGCCTGTTATGCTCACAAGTCGCACGTCAAAACTAAATGACATCAACTACGGTGTGGTGGAGAAAGAAGTCCTGGCCCTGCCCCGGATATTAGATGCTTTTTATACACTACTAGTATCGCGGGACCTTAAGGTGCTCACACGGTATCGAACTCTGGCGTGGTTGATGCAATCATCGGGCCTAAAAGGGAGACTTGGAAGATGGGCAGCTTTACAGTCAACTTGGACTCTGGAGATTTAAAGATGCAACAAAGGAGATGACGAAATTCTTGGCACTCTTGCCGCAAGAAGTACATTAAGGGAGCATTTGGATGGAATGCTGATCGCGATCGCGTCCCGGAAGCAACCGAGACAGATTATCAGTATGCCGCCCTCTACGGCCAGCCGCGAAGAATCGCTTCTTGTCGTCAGCTCTGACGGAGTAGGCCGCATTAAGAATATAGAAGGCGCCTACAGCGCAATAGTATGGAAACTTCCCGAGTGGACTATAGTATCGGCTGCGTCGCGATTCGACACTGGGTTGGCCGTGAACGAGGCTGAGTACCATAGGTTACTGCTGAGTTGCGAGTTGTTGGCCAAGCAGACAAGGGGACGAGTGGTCATTTGAGGGGATTCCAACCTGGTCATCAGGCAGATGAGGGGTGAAAGTTACTGCAAGGCACCGGGACTGCAGTTACTACGTCTCAAGGCCCTGGATCAACTGCGATCATGGCCAACTCATGAATCTTTACGTGTTGAGCGCAATTGGAATCAAAATGCCGATAGACTGGCTAGCTCCGCTTTACAGCTGGAAAAAGGCAGGATCAGGCTAACGAAGCAGAATTGTAACGATTTACAAGCGGTTAACCCACTGGACGAGATATTAGTACCAGCGACCAACAATCAAGTGGGCAAGATAACGGCGATCACATGATCATTCATACGTAGGCGTGAAGTGCTCACGATTATGCAAAATGGAAATACTACAGTAGATGCGACTGAATTGCAAAAAGTAAGCACAAGATGATAAAGTGGAATCGCCAACCTCAAACTTTACCTTGTCGGGGATGTTACCGGATTGGATACTACGGAAGCAAGAGCAAGTGCGGTTATTGCGCCAGATTACGTAATGGATGAAGGTGGATTGTTATATTTTTGTCCACGAGTGGAAGATACGCTCCCCAGTGAACGCGCGGAGCTCGTCCGTTTGGTGGTTCCATAATTACTGCAAGATGATGTCCTGCACCACTACCATGCAATTCTGGAAGGTGGTCACCAAGGGGTAGGCCGATCGTTTCACCGCATGCGATCGCACTTGCATTGGAGAGTCTTGTTTAGAAGCGTGCAGCAGTATGTGGGGAAGTGCGTCGACTTCGAAACCGGAAAAGGATGTCCGATCCTACGATGCGAATCCCCGGGGAATTTACAGTCCACGTACCCGTTCCAGATCATTGCAATAAAACGTATACCCTCATTACTCAGGTCATCTTAAGGGAATACCGAACTGTAGCTTTGGGCGGATTTGTTTTCTGGCTACGTGATCGCTTAAGCTAGCTCGTCAAGAACGGCCCAGACGATCGCGGGAGGGTATGAAGAATGTGTCTTCCGGCGGATTGGGGCAAGTGAATCTATTCGTCACGACCGCGAACCCGGATTCATGTCGGTTTCTTTTGCGCGTTTAATTGCATCGCTAGTCAGAAACAACGTGTCACAGTGGCGTATCGGCCTCAAGCCAATAGTACAGCTGAACGTATGGTCCCAAAATTGACCGGGCGCTAAAAATGTATGTCACGGATGTGAACCAACAAGATTATGACGAATATGCTGAACGCCTGACCTTCGCCATAAATACAGCCCATGACCGAGAACGGGGTAATACCTTTTTCTATCTTATCCATGTTTGGGATCCGTGATCAACGCTGGAAGCGACCCTGCCGTTGGGATGTACTAAAATGAGGGATCCTCGGAGATGGCGCTATCACTTACAGCGGCAATATCAACGAGCCTGCGCTACGGAGAATGACTGACTGAAAGACGCAATTCAAGACCGGGCTGACCAACACAACGTCGATCAAAGGCCAAATGGGATCAGCCGCGGTAGCCAAGAGTGGCTATATTTGGATCGACTGAAGGAGAAATATGCCAGGAAGCTGGCTTACATTTGGCACGGCCCGTTTCAGGTGATCGAGAAGTGCGGAGAACATGTAGTGCGGTTGGAGGTACAAGGAACCCCACGCCGTTTTTTTCTACTCGTTCACGTATCCAAGCTGAAGCTAGTACGGATTTTTCCTGATCGACCTGCTGCGCGGCTGGAGGTGGAAGAAAAAGAGCGTGTTGATTTTGACGAAGCTCTGCTTCGAGAGGACAGCTGGGAAAACGATCTAGCCGAAGGAGAATACGAAGTGGATAGTATCAGAGATGTGAGAACAGGACTAAAGACTCGGTACGGAAGGGTACACCGAGAGTTCCTTGTCCGATGGAAGGGTCAAATGGATGAGACTTGGGTGGATGAGGCAAACTTCAATTGCAATGCTTTATTGCAAGCGTTTGAACGTGATCGAGCTAGGCGAAACCGTTTTGAATTGGTGCAAGTACATAAGGAAGAATCCAGATGTTAGGTTGACCAGGTACAATAACCGCGGCCTTGAAGCACGGGGACTGTATGGTCTGTGAGAGAACAAGGGATGACCACGTGAACCATGACCACATCACTCCTTTACAAATGTGAAGGAGTGATGTGGTCAACTAACATGGTGATCATACAGTTAAGATGACCAAAAGCGGTGACCGCGTCCACGAAACGCTGTGACCGCCTGGTCTGTGAAAGGAGGAGGAATGAATACGTAAACTGTGAATGTAAAGGAGTTACATGGTCAACCAAAGCGGTGTACACAGAAGCAAGGAAACAAGGTGAACAGACAACGATAAAATTGAATTAAATAAGCAGCGACTGGTGCTCATGACTGTGACCATTAACTTCATGGTCTCTCATACTGGAGATGACCTTTCACTGCGCTACAAACTTGATCCGGAGACGGTCGATGGACGAGCCTGGGTGGTCATCACTGGCTGCCCGTTATTGATTGCGCCGGAGGTCAGCGTAATACGCAAGGTGCAAGGCTGAGGCCAGATTCGGGATGTTGGTCTGTCGACAGCCAAACCCTGGATACCACCAACATTTCTCAAACCGTCCTGGAAAGTGCAGAAAAGGGTTCCAACAGGATGTCGTGGTCACACTTACTCCGAAAACCCACCTGACACGATCCGAAGTACAGCCTTTCACCTGGGGCTGGACCGGAAATGCCGACGACGCCTTTCTTCATAGAAGACGCTCAATCCAGGGTCTTTCGCGCGACTTGGACCCACAATGATCGGAAGCAACTGAGTAGACTCCCATAACGCCTGGCGATGATGGTTTTCGAACTCACGATACGCTGTCATCAAAGCTTGGAATCAGCCAGTCGGGCGGACTGGCACAGGCGCCATAGGCCGATCCAAGAAGTTCCAAGGTTTTTAGCTGTATAAAGCAGCGATCTAGGCGGAAATTACTAGCCGCGGGTACCACTAAGCTTCAGTTGGCGGACGCAGAGAACCGGTTGGAACGGGGAACGGGTAGTGCTTGGGCCGGGAGTAGTTGTAGAACAAGAGATCCAAGTCCAGGTGACCTACATGTAACCAATCCCTAGCGATGGGATGAATACGGCGAAAACTGGCCAGGGTCATAGGTTGCACGAGTTCGATACCCAGGCATCCACTTATCGCGCGAGGACCGCACGGGGGGTTAAGCCTTGAAAGCGATCAGGGATAAAAGCTTGTTCACTGGGGCATGAACGTAGCTTGGTAACCTTACCAACCCATCGTACTCGTCGGACGCTCTGGGTGGCTCTGCGGTCGGAGGTGTCGTAGCGATGGGCGGCGAACGGGAGACGTCCAGTAAAGTACGACTATCACGTCTTGACGGAGCTGGACAAATCGCGGGTGTATTACTGGCTGGATCGATCTCGATCGGAGTGTCATCCAACCCATCAGTAGATCTTGTGGTCGAGGCAGAAGACCGCCGTCGAACGGAAAAAACTGACTGTGACAGTGCGATGAGCATGGTCTCGTCGGCAGATTCCACGGAGCCGTCGCTATTCTGCACATGAGATGTGGAGGGGAAACGCGCTCGCGTTTTCGTCTATGACCGCCGAGTCATAACTGATGGTGGCGTGGTCACGGTCTCGGGCTTGGACGATTTTCTGGTCGTACATGCTGGAATCTTGGGGACGTCGAGGCGAGGGAGAGACGCCTGCCGGGAGATGGGGTGAGTGGATACCGATCGTGAATAAGTAGTTGGGCCGGCGGGCCCTGCGACCGTAGACGAAGGACTGACAGGCGAATCTGGTCCGACCGCAACCCGAGGATGACCGGGGGATTTGAAGCGGATCGCTGTTGGGTCACATGGTCTATGGTCGGGACCACGGCAGATAGGGACCCAGAAGCCGAACTTGAGATGACCGTAACGCGCGCACGCTTGTTCAGGGGTGGCACAGGATCGGCTGCTGACTGCTATCTCCGCCGCTTATTATAGGCAAGCCCCACCGACGGAGGAAAACCCGTAACGAAGTTGATCAGATGGTTGAGCTGGGCCTGGCGGTCGCGAGTAAGCAGATCCCGTTCTGCTCTCGACAGTGCTAGCTCCTCAATATGAGCAGCATGGGGGGAGCGCAGAGGGTGAAGCTCTTGGTGACTTAAAACGCGCTCCATTTTTTTATTGGTCAAGCTCTCGACCACGCTGTGCAAAGTTGCGAGCAAGCGCATCGAAACCTATTTGCAGTGGAGCAACACGCTACTCACTTTCCGCTACCGCTCGTCGTAAGTCTTTACACTCCTTAGCTAATAGGTCAATTTCGGTCGTGTCCACGTCATGCACTTAATCACTACCCACGTCAGCATCGGCGGGATCAGAATCGGCAGAAGAGGCACCGTCCGCCAGGGCGTCATCAGATCCGACCAAAAAGCCAACAGGGTCGGCAAGGTGGTCAGCTGGAGTGGGGCCGGCTTGTTCAGACTCGGCAGTTTCCACATTACGCACTTGGTCGCTACCTACGTCAGCATCGGAAGGATCAGCATCGGCAGAAGAGGCATCGTCCGCCAAGTCGTCATCAGATCTGACCAAAAAGCCAACAGGGTCGGCAAGGTGGTCAGCCGGAGAGGGGCCAGCTTTGTCAGTCTCGGTCGCGTCCACATTTAGTGCCTGATTGCTAAACATCTTGACGTCGGCCGAGGGATCGAAGTCCGCAGGGACGTCTTTATATCCAACGTTGTCAGCAGCTAGGTTTTCTGACTCGGATGAAGGATATGCGGGACTAATACGTATGAGCCGGTTTGAGACGCGGTTCGAGCGTTACAAGATTCAGTGCTACCGGTCGCGTCTGGTTCAAGGCCAGTGTATTCTTTGTCATCAGGAGCAGGGGTGACCGATTGCAGCGAAGTCAGCTGGGAGACGTCGAACCTGAAGGCAGGGGCTTCTCAACGACCTGTCGAGATGGCGGAGACATCTCCAGTAATTATCAGGGGGAGCAAGAGCAAAACGCTAAATTTGACGGGGAAGGCAAATCAAAAGTGCTCAGCCAGATCGGCACCGGCTGCCGCCTAGCAGAGCAGGGGGCGACTGTGGTGAAGTGGTCAAAGGAAATCCTGACCAATCACCTTGATCACCTCGTATGTGCATGTGGGACCGGTCATGCCGGCCTTGGGGCCGACCGCTACAGAAATCCCCAACGATAAGCTGGACAGTTTGCAAGTCATCAGTGGAGGTCACAGATTATGAACACCGGTTAGGGTCACGACGAATGACTAACCGGTCATGGTCACAATGAATGACCAGTGGTCACGTTCACGATGGGTGACCAGTGGTCATGGTCACTGCAAGATGACCAGCGGTCAAGTTGGCAGTTAAGGTGATTCACTTCAAGCACAGGGAATGGGTGTTGGCAGGCGAACAACGTAGCAGAAAATGGAGATAAAGAGAAGTCTAAACGTGGTTCTAGCCCCTAATAGGTTAGTAACGAACAGTATTGATTTTCCTACAAAAGACACGCGTCAGCATTCCTCCGGGCTGGAATACTATTGGCCACCCGACGTAAAAGGTTTACTGTCTACGTGTTTGCTCAAGGTTTGTTTCTAGATTGCTTGTCTAGGGAAAAATATACTCATTCAAGTTAGCCCGCGATCGGACGCGGCAAGCATACAAGGCAAGGTCTTCAGACGGCTCAAGTGATCAGAAGGACACGGTGATCAAGTGGTCAGAAGAACAAGGGGGATCAAGTGTCCACATTTGGGCAAGGCGACCTCAAGGAAGGTCAGGCAACTCTAGGAGAGTGCCACCAAAAACCGTTGGTCGTGTGAAAAATACCACGCGACCACACCCCACCTATCCTCAACTCGGTCAAGACAAGACATCTTTTTCAAGATACCTAGAAGAGTGCAACCGGCCGCCGACGGGTACACAAGGTGATAAGGAACAAGACACACGGTCCGGAGTGCCGCATCCGTTATTCGGTCGTCCGGGCGCAAATAGAGAGTCAGGATCGCTACGTAAATGAGCGAATCTCACTCCACCACACAAGTCATGCTTTTAATTTGCCTCGGCAACAGTTATGGTGTTCGAAGAGCCGTGTTCAATTTTGATTGACTCTAGGGCATTAGAAAACTACTTCTAACGCCGTTCTCTTGAAGAGAGTAGTAGCATGCTGAAAATCTGAAAGCGCTTGAAGGCGATGTTATCGTGGTGCGTCTAGAAAGGGGAGTTGGTGTCACCGTACCTCAACTTTCGTTGAGATTAGGTGTAAAAACATTAGACTTTGACAGCATTAAACAAGTTCTTGCCCTATACTTATTCTCGAGATATGATCTCATTTTCGGTATGGCCTCGCTATAACGCCATGAGCCATGGATTATTTGAGATTGAAGACCTTAGGCGCAACGTGAAATGTTTCTAGTGAAGCTTTGAAAGGTCATTAACCCAACTTTTTTAGACAGCAAAAGAGATATTGGCGCGAGTCACTGACGGACTCAGTTAATGTGCTGGACATCAGAATGCGTTAGTAAGTTAAATTTACGTAGTGAAACGGCACTTTCTCCGTTTAGTAGCAAGCGTTTTCACTACAAGCCACCATTGAACGCTGATAACAATGATGACCCCAGGTCGAGTCAAATATGATTTGATCCGTTACAATAGTGAAACGAGACGTACACCGTTAAATGGCACGCGTTATCACAACAAGCCACAAAAAGCTGATTGCATTAATGACCTCAGGTCGAGTCATTTGTAGTTTGATCCGTTAGATTTACAGGGAGTGGCACGCAATCACTCACAGAGTGAGGGCGGTGCAATAGCACCTCACTGAATTTCGAGACTGACACTGTTGGCGAAACGCCTAAGCATTAAGAGCGAGAGTTCTCTGATTCATGTGCAGTGGCACGTGAAATTCACAGCGTATAGGCGGCTATCGTAGCACCTCACTACATGCCGGAATTGGCGTTGCTGGCGAGATGCCCGGACATCAATAGTCTGATGTGTGCACGGTGGCCGATAACTCGCCAGGTGATGAGTTTGACTTAAGCAAATTTGCACCAGATGTCTGTTATGGCATCAGCTCTTGTTTAGAATGCGCTTAGGTCGATAAAATTAATCACCTTGTAGGACAAATGCTCCGCTCTCACTAAGCTTTTGTTGCTTTTCAGAGACGGCATCAATGTCAAATGGCGGTTCCAAGACAAGAAGCGTCTGTAATGTCTCAGTAAGATACTATGGATCCGCTAGATTCATTACTAGATGGAGTGACAGGTCATGTGGATGGTGTAGTGGCCTTGCGGTCCCTTCTTCTTACTGCTCTGAAAGAGCTGGAAGAACTGTCAATGAACGAGTTCAGTCGGAACTCTAGGGCATGTGATATTTCCAATATGGTGGTTCTTAGACCCAATAATGAGTTGGATTACTCGTCTAAATTGGATGAGACGGTCTTTGGAAGTGCAAAGGTGTCACTTATTGCACGTAGTAGATCTTGCATTTCTCATACCAGTTCCGACCACTAATACCCATTGGTCAAGGAAATTTAAGACGTGGCACAATAAAGTATCGTCTGTATGACCTCCCAATAGAGGTTTACGTAATATAATTGAAGTAGTTTCAATAAAATAGGCACTGCGTTACAATGCAGTGGTCTATACCAAAAGAACAATGTGGCGTCATTGACGCGTTTTCAATGCTGAGCACGCGGCAGGAATGGTGCGGGAGAGCAAGTCTCCTCATTCCACACCCATATTTTTTCTCTAAAAGGCTATTAAAAATTGGCGCATTGTGCTTGCTTATAATAAACTTGATGCGGCCACTACAACAGCACAAACTCCGTATTCTAGAAAGGAAGTTTTTCAGAACAACATGGCACGACGTAATATGTACAGTGCAATTGAACTAGTCGATGGTTGTCATCAACTGCTCGTGGAAGCAAGTATTATCATGCTCTCAGCGGTTAGTACTCTAAGCGGTATGCTTTGGGGGTGGCTGGTGATGCCTCAGGGACTTTACAATGCCTCAACTATATTTAATCGTCTGGTGCGCAACTGTTCCGCCCTGACCGTGCTCATGCACAAGCATTTTTCGATTACGTATCTGTCCGTATCCGAGCGGAATAGGGTCGGTCGGACATGGATAATAAAAATCGACCATCTACGAGCTGTTCTCGAGTGCATGCCCACTAATCAGGTCTGTGCAAATGCATCAAAACGCATCTTTGCTGCGGACGAGACCCCATTTTTGGGAATGTTTCATCAAGAAATGAGGCCTTCACGTATATCCCGCAAAGGTGAACAACATAGTGGGTTGGCCAGTCCCTAAGAACCAAAAGGATCTACTCGAGTAGTTTGGCCTTGCCGATCGCTCGCATTAGCATAGATAGAGTTACGCTTATATGTACTGACCATTGTTTAATCTCCTGGCAAGGAGTGTGTAATCGCTTAGATTATCCGTCAGCTTAAAGGGTTTTTAGGAGAACTACCCAGTTCACAACAAGGAGCAGCCTCTATGACGCACACTCTAGTCAATTTCGATGTTCATCTGCTTGGCTATAAGCCGCTTGTAGTCTATACCGATCATGCGTATTTACACACGGTGACCCAATCGCTTTACCTCTTGCAGAGAATGTTCCGTTGGCTTTCATTAATTGCAGAATTTTATTTCGAGGTGAAGTTTAAGCCGGGAAGTTTCGTGGCATTCCAACAAAGGGTGCCCTATTACACCCTCCCCTTAAACTTTCTGCACTCTTGTGTCGACAATTCTTCTACTGCTCTGTGAGGTCTTAAAATGGTCCTGACCGTGTTTATAACACATCTCAAAATTACCGAGTCAAAGCCTTCGTCTAACTCCCTTATGAATTCTCGAAGAAGGTTTGGTGGACTACGAGAGTGACACCGTCGCGTCGAGTGTAAATGACCCACCTCCAGCTACGGTACCGTTGTGTGACATTATGCGCGTCGCGCCTAATCCATTTGGGGGATGCGAGGATGTACCTTCACCCCTTGAACAGCGTGCAAGGGGTGAATACGCTGGCTGATGCACTGTCAGGACGGCCCGACTATGAGCTTGCGCATGTTTCTCATTCGTCATTGTCTATCACTGACTTAATCTTTGCATCTCATGCCAAGGATGAGAAATAAGTAGCTTTGCTGATACAGCTTGGATGCGATGAGTTTACGAACTCGGAAAATTAACTTGTCAACACGTTCGTGTTCGAGGCTTCATCGATACTCTATCAATAACAGCTTGTTGTGCTATCGCAAGGATGCCGAGGATACCCCGCGTATCATTGTTCCTCGTGCTAAGGAATTGATGTATCATATCCTCTTTGAGTTCCACGATACAGCTATAAGCGGTCATCTCGGTCGTGAGAAGACCTACGGCTTGATTATCCAGCGTTGTTAGTGGCCTAAACTTTATAAATGATTAAGCACTTACGTGCGCACACGTGGGACGTGCCAACGGGTCAACCCTCGGTCCATGTGACTGCACCGCTGGCTAGTTGCCTATACCCTCTGGGTGCTGGACGTCTAAAAGAATGGACTCTGTGTTTGGCCTACCAAAAGGTTCGGAGGGCAACACATGGGTTGTGGTCTTTGTCAACCGTTTGAGCAAGATGGATCACTTTGTGGATGTGGCGGATTTGACTGATCGTGGAGGTACGGCTTTGCTGTTTATTGATCGCGTATTCT